GTCAGAGTGTTCTAAAATGTGCAATTACTTTGACGATTGTGTCCATAGCACATAATTCTTCATGTGTGGAGAAGAACATATATATTTTTAGATAAGAAAATAGAAACATTTTACAAACTTGAACAAATAAGGATTAATGATAAACCCTTTCAACTATTTTTGAATAGGAATAAAACCTCTTAACTAATATTCTAATTTAAAAGGTTCAACTTACAAGCCTTTAATATATGTTACCGTGTGTCTATAATTTTTTTCTATTTTAGATGAGAAAACAATTAAAGAATTTAATTGAGGGATATTGTCGCTAAAATCTTTTAAAATCTGATAAAAGTTTATAAAGTCACTAAATGGATAAAGGTTTATAGCAGTATTTATAATTTAAAAAATGGTTATAAAATTTGGTAAATAATATTTAAAGTTATTTAAAAGCCTTACTAATCATTTATTAAAAACAAAAATCTGCTACAAGAGTTCAGAAGAATTAGTTTTTTTTCCAAAAAATTATGATATTATTTATAAAATTTTAAGCATTTATACAAACTTATATAATATTTATAAGAACTTATAAACTATTTATAAGAGTTATGGAACAATATATATAATGCTTATAAGGATCTAAAAAATATTTTATAAAGTCTTATAAACCATTTTTAAAAGTTGATAAGCAATGTAGTAGAAATTGAGAGGCTTACGAAATCATTGATAAAGGCTTACTAATAATTTGTAGAACGTTATTAAAATATTTAGAAAAACTTATAAATTGGCTATAAAATTTATAAAATAATGTTTAAGGATTTATAAAAAATGGCTTATAAATTGGTTTATAATACTTTAAGCAAAATATATAAGTAACTATAAATGATTTAATAAACTTTGTTATATCCATTTTAAACAATTCTATAAAATTTTATCTGATTTTACAAGCTTTTACAAATTATTTTGCAGGTACTTAATAATATAACCTACGTGTGTTCAATCCGGATGTCGGTTCGGTTGTAGTTTGGTTTTTTCGGTTTTTAGTATTTCGGTTTATAAAAATAAGCTACCATATTAATAGCATATCAACTTTGTTGGTTAGTTTATATACTAATGGTTTTCACTTTGTTCGATTTTATGTCAAAAACCACAACTATTTTTACCTTTACGCCAAATTTTAGTTTATACTTTATAGGATTAGAAGTCAAATTTATTAAAGCATAATATATAATCTGTACTATAAGTTTAAATAAAATATCCTATTTCATTTTTACTATTAAAAATAAAAGAAGTAAATTATTCATACCATAATATTATTAAATAACTAGAATTTAGCAGAAATATTTACTAATAAAAATATATTTTATTTAGTTTGATGAAAATGAGAATATTTTAACTAAAAAGTAAAAATTAATTAATCAGTGCTTTAAATATGAAAAATCATATTAATAAAATAAATCATGTATGTATTATTATTATTTTTATAAAATTTTCATATATGTTTACTAATATATTTAAATTAAACGGTTACTTTGGTTTATTCGGTTTGATCAATTTATATACCAAATTATATCCATATACCATGGTTTCTTAAAATAACATATATTCAGTTTATTTGGTATTACCAAATCCAAAGTATTTTCTCTATATCGGTTTGATTCGGTTTAAATTGGTCCGTTTTACCGGATTGAACACCCTAAACTATAACCGTTTAACTATTGTCGATCCAAAACAGAATAATCATTGACAATGATGACATATGCTAACGGTTTGTAAGTTGATGATGTAAAATGTTAAAATATTAGTTGAAAGGTTATCTTCCGATTCAAAAATAGTTTACATGTTTAATAGATTTTTAATAGATTTCATCTTCTTTTTGAATGTTGTGAAATGTGACGTTATATGAATGTAATAACTTGAAAATAATCTATTTTGATTAAGGAAGTTTCCAAAATTGTTACAACAAAACATACTTTTTTCATTGAGTAGTTTTACTTTACAAAAATAAAAATAAAAACTGATAATTAAGGAGAATTGTTTATTAATTGGCCATTGGTTCAATTCCTACCTTCAGTCTAATCATATTTCACCTAGTTTGCATGAGTTAATTAAAAGTTCCAGCTTCATACTTCTACTGATTGATGTTCAAGCTAGCAACTCTAATACTCAAACAGTTTTAAACTCAAGAAGCAATAGCATACGAAAATTATTAAGAGTTCTAAGTATTATTATGATAAGAAAGATTAATAGATATCTTGAAATCCAACCATTGAAATTACTTACAATCATTTCAATGTAAAAGCTAATACTTGTATCTCTCTTATATTAAAATTGAGCATGATTCATAGTGAAAAATATTTCATCTAAGACAGTACTTCTAATACTTATAAAAGTTCAAATTTCAAACTCTTTGTTTTCTTTTTTTTTGTCTAACTTTTTTGAATTTCCTATAAATTGTAAGAATTACAAAAAAAAACACACTAAATCATCTTTAAATGCTAAAATCAAATGTCTTTTAGATTAAAATGTATTAAAGCACACTAAACATGTAAATAATTGAAGAAACAATAATCGTATTATTGAAGTAAATGAAATATTGGTATAGATCCTCTAGTGTGTATATTTTTATTATTCTGACGCATCTGGTCAGAAAATAGAAGTCATCCAGTTTTGTGGAAGTTTCCAGTCGAAAAATGGTTATTCAAAGAATGCTTGTGGTCACTAGATTTTCAATGAAATTTTTGGTTGAACCTTCAATTTTGTAAGCTTCTGCTATGTAATAGTTACAATGCACTCAAAGTTGTCAAATGATTCTGAACTAATGGTGCACATCGTTCTCTTTTTCATTAGATTTGTTTCCTTATAAATGAAGAAGAAATAGAAAGTGTTTGAGTGGAGGTTACTGGTTTGACTATCTTAATGGATTTAGAAATTCAAACTAAATCTAGTGTCTTTTTTTAATTAAATATTTTATTAAAAAATCTAGAGAAAATAACATATAACTAGAACAACACAAATGAAATCCAAAAAAAAAATAATTAGAACTGCTAATAATAGTAAAACCGAAGAGGTAGACACAAATAACACATGTGCGCTATACTTAAGTCATTAGAAGAGTCACTGGAAAATGAGATTAATGAATCTCTTCTAACCAAGATGCCAGAAGACTTCGGTTCTTTGCCTTCTGAGAGATATCGAATGCTTCATGATACTCCAACCTTTTCCAAAAACATATTTGTTGCGTACTAGCTTTATGGTGATTGTGTAATCGTTTTCTTCCATTGCATCATAAACTTTCACTTCCATACCCGTTTTTAAACTTTCAACTGTAACACCATCAATTACCGCGAGAACTAACTCAATTTATGTTTCGGTAACACCATATGGTGTGCTAAATCAGTGTTTGTCAATTGTTTTGTTATAATCATAGCAGGATGGACGGGTTCACGAGTATCAATGGGATATAAAACACCAATGATATCAACTTTTTTTAAGAAAAAACTAGAGATAGCGCTTTTGAAAGTAAAAGAAAGAATGATACTTGTGTAAATCTAGTGTCATTATTGCAATAATTTTAAAATTCATAACGAAATCATGTTTTATTGATTTCATAATTTATAAATTTTAATTCAAATAAGGTATTACTGAATCATATAGATTTATCAATGGATCTGATTTCATTTTGGATTTGAAAGGATTTGCATAGATTTCTTTGTTAAATATACAAAAACTCAAATCTGAAGAAAATCCTTCAGATTTATACAATACTAATTACAATTCATCGGTTAGATTTAATAATCTGTATATTTTACTTGGATTTATATACTGTATGGATTTCTAAATCAATCAAAATACATAAACCAACAAAAAAATTAAGTAAATATCTATTTCTTGAGTGATGTCATACCATATCAATATGGTGAAAAACTAATTAATTTCTATTTTGTATAGAAAAATTGACAAAATAATTTGTATCTGACAACAAAATACTTTTGTAACTCTTTGTAATTGCGCATTTGCAAAAAAAAAAAAATAATTTATTTTTAATGAAAATAATGAGATTTTTATCTATAAGTTGGAACTTTAACTATGTTGGAACCATCAATGAAAATTAAGTTCTATGTTTTGTCATAAAAACTTGCAAAATAAATTGCATTTGACATCAGCAAGTTCCAACACCATACACAGATCAAAGGGTGTTTATTTCAAGAGAACAACACATTTGTTGTATTTGTGCCAATTTGAACAAACTACTAACGCCAAATTTGTTCTCTTGAAAACTTGACACCATACACACTACTAAAGCCAAGTTTGTTCTCTCAGAGTACTAAAAATCAATCTCCCATTACTCTTCGATATACTCTTGATCCTTATTTCTCCTGATTTTGTTTACTACAACCTTCTCTCTTGTTACAGAAGTCTCAGTACCATTCAACTGTTGAAAATCACAACCTTCTCTCTTGTTACAGAAGTCTCAGTACCATTCAACTGTTGAAAATCACCATGCATTTCCTCACATCACAGACAGCTCCGGAGGAGCTCCTTCGGTGAAACTTTTTATTTACTAATAAAGATAGAACAAAGAGTTAAACTAATATTTACTCCCAAAGTTAGTTCTCTGTTTCTGAGTAAACAGCAGAGTAAAATTGACTAATTTATGTTTCTGAACAAAAACCAGAGTAAGTTGCAGATGCAGTTCACAAAACTTATACAATGACTTATTCATGGAGGACTTCAAATCGCTTGAAAAAAGCGGACTTTTATATCTCACAACCTTTTAACAATGCTGTTACTTAAATCGGTCTATAAAGACTTGTAATGAATTTGGATGTTTGACAAAGAAATCTCCATCATTAGTTTCAAAGATCAACTAAAACATGTTTATCTTTAATACTTGTCTGTAGTTCTGTAACCTATTTCTTAAATTTTCATATGATAGGGTTTTTGCCTAAACTAATCCCCATACCCTATGAAAACATATTGTATACGTATAATTTTTTTTTTCTTTAGTAGGCAAGAATTAACGCAATATCAGAAAATTCATAAATAACACAGTTTATTTTACATCAGCAAGTTCCAACACCATACACAGATCAAACGGTTAATAATTCAGAAAGCGACAACTTACTAATAGAAATTATGCAAGATAATTAATTAACTAACATAATTATTTTTAATCAGTAATAAAGACATTAATCATTTCATGAAACCTTGAGCCATCTTAGCATAGTCTCCAAACCCATGGCTACCACCTCCTGATTTCTCATCCCCTTTCTTACCCGCCGGTTCTCCAGCTCCTCCACCGTGACTGCCTCCGCTGCCTACACCGCCGTGGCTGCCACCGCTGGAGGAATGAGAGTGTGAAGATTCATACTTGTGGAGATAACTTTCAGCCTTTTCGAGGTACTGACCCACACCACTCTTTTCATCAAACTTGCCGTATCTAGAAGCGGCGTCGAGAATATCAGCGGTGGCTCCGGCGACTTTAGCTTTGTCGAGCTTGTCAGTCTCACTGCGAGCAGCGGCTTGAGCAGCTTCGGCTACAATCTTGGCACTAGCCATGAGCTCAGCGTTGGTAGCTGGCCTATGTCCGCTATGAGTTGTAGGACCGGAATGACCGGGTTTGTTTTTGTTGTGATTTGGCTCCGGTTCAGAACTTTCCGGCTTCTTGTCGGAGAACTTTTTCAGTTGATCGGAGAGAAAATCCATGTTTCTTCTTTGTCTTGTCGATATTTGACTTTGGAAATGTATAATAACAAGTTCATGATATTTATTGAAAGTCAGAAAATTTACTTATTTTTTTGTCCACTATTCAACTTTGCCTTTAATCTTTATCCACTACTTCCTGCACCACATCTTTACATGAATAACATTCAATACGTAAAGGATTAGTCGGTTGAAGTTTTGATGGGTGGCACGGGAAAATGGGTCCGTTGGCCACGATAGTGTCTAGGGCTGGGCATTTTATTCGTTATATTTGATTCGATTCGTTATTCGTTTCGATTCGATCCGAAAATTTCGGATATCCGTAAACTTTCGAAGCAAAGCAAATACTAAAATTCAATATCCGTTAAAATCGAAGCAAATCACAAATATTAAAATTTTGGGAAGCGGATATCCGATCCGATCCGGAAATATATAAATATATGTATATTTTGATTATATTTAAAATTTTAAATGTATAAAATTATATAATTATTATTCTAACACATGATTTTGAACAATTCTATTCACATTATTACTTATATAAAAGTATTACATAAAAGAGAGAAAATTTTTATGACAATAGTATTTTTTTATTAAATTTTGTGTTATTATAATTGTAACTTAAACTTAAAAAAATTACAAAATATGTAAATTCACTAGTTCTTTTAATTTTTATTTTATATATCATGCAAAAAAAAATATTTTTGAAAAGCAAATTTGTATCAAAATCTTAAGATTATTTGTATTAATCAAAACTAATGAGATATCCGTAAATATTCGTAAATATCCGTAAATATCTATTTATTTCCCGGATATCCGTTTTTCCGGATATCCGTATTTTTCCGAAGCAAAGCAAATACCAAAATTAGATATTCGTAACATTCGAAGCAAATCACAAATACCTTAAAAAACCCGAATATCCGATCCGTGCCCACCCCTAATAGTGTCTATCCAACTCTGACCGTTGACTTTGTCGGCAGAGTAAACTTTGAAATAATAGCAGGCTTTCAGGTGGGCTCAAGAAAAGCCCAATTGTTGATATATGTCCGAGCCCAATTTTGGTTGAGTCATTCCTTGTCAAATATATGTTGTGAAGATGACCACACTAATCCTATTATTTTTTCTTATGTCAACAAGATGACGACATTGTCATGACATAGACAGAAGTGAATACCAACAAGACCAAACTATGTGTATTATATAGAAGGAAAAACATCCCTTTACGTAATGCATGGAGAAGCGAAGAACAACAGGTGGTGAAATATCAAAGGAGTGTCATGACTCATGAGAACACGCATCCTCTTGTTTCTTAAGATTTCTTCTGAAACCATTGAGTTTTGTGTTCTCAGGTCACCCCTTTGAATCTCCTCTGTTCCACTAATTCACCTTTTTTTTTTTTTGTCACAAAACTAATTCACCTTATTAAATGTGCTTTTTGTGCTTTTTAAAGCCTTTCAACACCTTTGATCAAAAAAAAAAAAAAAAAAGCCTTTCAACACCTTATTAAATGTTTTTGATCTTTGTATGAGATAATTACTAAAATAATCTTGAAAAAGTGTCCAAAAACTAAAATAATGTTTTTAAAACATATTACTAGACTAATGCATACTATTTTGTAGAAAACTTTTATCTTTCAAGTTTTCATTTAATAAGAAAAAGTATTCTTCAAATATAAGTAACTGAGAAATACATACCATAGCTAGCCTTCAGAAGATGCGAAGTCAGAAATCATGTTTGGTTTAAAAAATGACTTCAAAATCACTCCTTAAAAAAAAGCTAAAAGTGATTTATTACCAAAACCCAAACACAAAACCAACAAACAAAAAAGAACACGTTGACTTTCTTAACTAACCACCATCTCTTCCGCACCCGACACACCGTCACCATGATCACCGTATACTCTTCCTTCTTCCTCCTCTTAATCTCCACCGTTCACTCCAAACCAACGATCTCATTCACTCCCCAAACCCTAAACCGATCCGGCGACACCGTCACGATCCAATGGACCGGCGTCGAATCACCCTCCGATCTCGACTGGCTCGGAATCTACTCTCCACCAGAGTCTCCTCACGACCACTTCATAGGCTACAAATTCCTCTCCGACTCGCCCGACTGGCAAACCGGGTCGGGCTCCATCTCCCTTCCTTTAACCAATCTCCGATCCGATTACTCCTTCCGGATCTTCCACTGGACCCAATCCGAAATCAACCCCAAACACAAAGACCACGACCACAACCCGTTACCCGGAACCCGCCATCTCTTAACCGAATCAAATCGGTTAACTTTCCGGTTTTCCGCTAACCGGCCGGAACAGATCCATTTAAGTTACACGGACACGGTTAACGAAATGCGTGTTATGTTCGTTACGGGAGACGGTGAAGAACGGTTAGCTCGTTACGGAGAGGTTAAAGAGAGACTAAACAACACGGTTAAAGCGCGTGGAGTTAGTTACGAGATCGCGCGTATGTGCCACGCGCCAGCGAATACAACCATCGGTTGGAGAGATCCAGGCTGGACGTTCGATGCAATCATGAAGAATCTGAAACCAGGGGTGAAGTACTTTTACCAAGTCGGGAGTGAGACCAAAGGATGGAGTGAGATTCACACATTTGTCTCTCGAGATGCGAACTCTGACAAGACCTTAGCGTTCATGTTCGGGGACATGGGATGTTACACGCCTTACAGAACATTCATCCGCGGGGAAGACGAGAGTTTATCAACCGTGAAGTGGATTTCAAGAGATATCAAAGCTTTAGGTGATGACAAAGCAGCGATTGTGTCGCACATTGGTGATATAAGCTATGCTAAAGGCTACTCGTGGATATGGGATGAGTTCTTTAATCAGATCGAGCCTATAGCTTCGAAAACACCGTACCATGTTTGCATCGGTAACCATGAGTATGATTGGCCTATGCAGCCGTGGAAGCCGGATTGGGCTGCTTACGTTTATGGTAAAGATAGTGGTGGAGAATGTGGTGTGCCGTATAGTGTTAAGTTCAACATGCCTGGGGACTCATCTGAGGCTAAGGTTCGGAACCTTTACTATTCTTACGACATGGGTTCGGTCCATTTCGTTTATATCTCGACCGAGACGGAGTTTCTTAGAGGAGGGAAGCAGTATAGTTTTATCAAAAGTGATTTAGAGTCTGTGAATAGGAGCAAGACGCCTTTCGTTGTTGTGCAAGGGCATAGACCGATGTACACTACGAGTACTAAAGGTAGCGATATTGCGATAAGGATGAAGATGATTGAACATTTAGAACCGCTGTTTGTTGAGAACAACGTGACGGTTGCGTTATGGGGACATGTTCATAGGTACGAGAGGTTTTGTCCTATAAGTAACAATACGTGTGGTGAGCGGTGGCATGGGAAACCTGTTCATCTTGTGATTGGTATGGCTGGGAAAGAGACGCAACCGATTTGGGAACCGAGGCCTAATCATCCGGATGTACCGATATTTCCTCAGCCTGCTAGGTCTATGTACCGTGGAGGTGAGTTTGGGTATACTCGTCTGGTTGCTGATAAGGAGAGACTTACTATTTCTTATGTTGGGAATCATGATGGAGAAGTTCATGACAAGGTTGAGATTTTGGTTTCAGGAGAAGTTATTAGTGGTAGTGGTAGTAGTGATGATGGTAATAAAGAAACAAGCTTTGAATCTAAAGCTGATTTTGCAGTGTTGTGGTATATTGAAGGAGCAGGTGTGATGGTTTTGGGAGTGGTTTTGGGATATCTTATTGGTTTCTTTAGTCGTAGAAAGAAAGAAGCTGGAACTGGATCTTCTAATCCTGGTCGTTGGATCCAACTTAAGAGCCAGGAAGAGACATGATTCAACTTGTTTTTGTTTACTTGCCGCACAAGTTATGTATAGCATTCTTATTATAGAAAGGTACATCCAAAAGCTTATTAACCTCTTCAAGGTTTTGAAGGGTTAGTTTGTGATATTACTTTTGTACTTTAGCTTTTGTTAAATACTAAAATTGAGAGGCTATGTAATTTTTATTTGCAGACCGTGAAAAATTATAACGGCAAAATATACTAATGGAAACTTTGAGTTATATACGACCCTTGGAGTTTTATCATCATTCTCTCCCCAGTCGTCTTGACCAAATAGTTCATCAATGATGTTCCAAGTAGGTAAGAGATTTTTGTTTTTGGTCCAACAATCTGATTTTTTGAGTCTCTGATCACAAGATCTGTGGCACTCTCTGTTTTCAATAAGGCTGTGAGAGAATATCATATTGGAGTCTTCTTGTAACTCGAAGGACATACACGAGTCGTCTTCTACATTAACCTCACCATCTCTTGAAAGTTGAAACCTTATCCATATGTACACAGCGAGCATCGTTATCTGGTGACTTCTTCTTTGTAGGAGATGGGTTATACCTCTCCATAAGGCCCATCAAATGGAGAAGCTTAGCCCGATGTGACAATCTACTCGGCCCACTAAACGCGTATGAAACGCCTCAGCACGAGGACGTGTCTAGTAGCGCGACAAAGAGCGTTCTAGAAGACTCGGTGGAAGCAGAATTTACCCGGGCTACTAAACGGGCCCAACGAGAATCAAGCCCAACAAGGCTCAAGTGAACTAGGGCGAACACGAGGACAGGGTCTATAAAAGGGATAAGAGGAAGCAACAAGAAAGGATCGGGAATTCGACATACTCACTTGGCGGCTAGATCTAGGGTTTCTTAGCGATTAGGTGGTTAGATCTAGGGTTTACTCACCATACCGTTTAGTCACCTTCTTGTTTACTCACCTACCGTTTAGTCAACTCCCTGTTTACTCACCATCTTGTATTTCCGGCTAGTCCGCCTCTTTACTCTTCCCTTTGTAACTCCTTGTTCAGATCTAATAAAACGTCTTTGTTCGCCCTCATCTCTCTTTATATTGTTCGAACCATTTTCACCTCAAACAATTTGGCGCCCACCGTGGGGCTCTGAACAAAGCAACGTTATCAGATCTAGACATGCCAGACGACGGAACCGTCTCTGGAACTGCGGGGGAGGAGCCGACTCCGACTCCCGAACCCGAAACACCTCTTCCGGCCGACTTCATGAGCTCCGTCATGGCGCGTTTCGCCAGACAAGACGAGATCGAAAAGGAAACTCAAGCTCAACTCGCCGCACTCGTAGCAACGTTAACAGCAGCTCCCGCCGGGCAGACGAGTAACTCTCAACCGTTTCGACGTCATCTCTTCAACACTAACCCGACGGCGCCGGTAGCCGACCATACCTCCGAAGAGTCGGAACCCACCGAGCCGCACGCTGCAGAAACAGCTCAAGCCGGCCCAGATCTCGCGACTGTCCGTGAAATCGCCGAGCTCAAACTGAACCTCCAACAGATGAGCTCCACGATTCACAAGGTTACTAGCGCCGCTCCACAGATCGAGAGCGTTCTCGCTTCCACCGAGCGTACCCCATTCACCAGTACGTTGACTAGCGTAAACTTCCGCAAGATCGAGAAGCTGCGCGTCCCACAATACAAACCCGGCGGTGACCCTGTAGAACATATGACTGCTTTCAACATAGCGATGGCCCGAGCGCGGCTACCAGACGACGAGAAGGACGCCGCATACTGTCAGCTGTTCGTGGAGACACTCCATGATCAAGCCTTGACCTGGTTCTCAGGTCTCAAGGAGAATTCTATCAGCAGCTTCAGAGAGCTCTCGTCGGCTTTCCTCAAAACCTACATCATGTTCACTAAACGCGAAGCTACAGCCTCCAGCTTGTGGAACCTAAAGCAGACTAAAGACCAAAGTCTCCGAGACTTCATGGAGCGCTTCAAGTCGATCGTCTCAAAGATCGACATCCCTGACCACATAGCCGTCGACGCTCTTATGAACACCCTCCATCTCGATTCCAAATTCCGAGAGGACCTATACCGAAGCACCTCCACGACGCTCCAGGATGCCATAGCTCGTTCACACAATTTCATCCGCATGGAGGAAGACACGAAAGCAATCATGGAGAAGCGCGCGCAGCGAAAGTCCGGTGGTAAAGGTGGAGAGAAAAGTCGCGTAGACGGCAAACCTTCGGACGACACGGACAACGAAGCTTCTTCGGCAGACGAGGAGCAACCGGCGAACCGCCAACGTATCGAAGTGATACAAGCTCAGCAGCCCTTGTCGTCCGACGACGAAGACGATCACTCGTCGGTACCACGGAGCCTCCCTCGGCGGAGCTTTCTCAAGCAAAAAGTGGCGACAAACAGCGACGTCAATAACACCGATCTCCGTCTTAAGCTCAAAGCCAACAAGTCGCAGCGTCTCGAAACCACGGAGCCTCCCTTATCGACCGACAAGCCCGTCACCGACCTTCGTGACAAACTTAACGGCAATCTGACTGATTTACCCGTGCGGCTAAACCGTTCCAGATCAACGGATCTACGACGACGGCTAGAACGGTCATCTTCTTCCCAAAACATAGACGATTCCGATCCAAGCAAGACGGTGTGCATCGGTGCATATCTAGCCGACGACGTGCAACGAGCATTAGAGCTCGGAGACCTCGTTATGTGCAAGGTATTTGAGAACACCAAGGAGCTTAACGCTGGTAAGTTAGGCGCAAGGTGGGAAGGACCATACAAGATCATCAAGGTCATCAAACCAGGCGTCTACCGACTTCAAACCTCGCGCGGAGAAGACGTCCCAAGGGCATGGAACTCGACACATCTGCGCCGCTACTATTCCTAAACCAGTCGGCTACTCCCCTCTTTCCAAAAAAAAAAAAAAAAAAAAAAAATCGAGTAGATGCACCCCAGTTGTCACTTCTACTCGCCCGAGTAAATGAGCCTTAAAACAGCCACTTTTGCTCGGGTAAACCGAACTACGAACGGCTTGATCCTCTTTGGAGGTACGTAGGTAGCCTTAATCGGTCCAGCTGTAACAACAACCAAAAACAAACGAGTAGATGCACCCTAGTTGTCACTTCTACTCGCCCGAGTAAATGAGCCTTAAAACAGCCACTTTTGCTTGGGTAAACCGAACTACGAACGGCTTGATCCTCTTTGGAGGTACGTAGGCAGCCCTAATCAGGCGCAGCCGTAACAACACCAAAGTTCAAACTTTGTGACGGTCCAACACGACCGAGGCGATATCCACATTCTCGTCTGCAGAGAAGGACACAGATACTCGCACCCACGAATCAATCATGTCCTGATCAGACACTTGGTTGAGGGACCCAAAAGTCGCACCCCACCAGGACCGACATGCGAGAGAAATCCGGACCGCTATCTGAGTAAACGAGTGAACGTTTTGGCCGACTAAACTCGTTAAGTCACCGATTAGCCGGTCTGGAACCTTTCCCTCCGAAACAGA